AAGGGTTGTTCATACTCTTGGAGTAACAATGTATTCAAGCTTTCATAATTCATATATTCATGGCTTATTTATCATCCTTCGAAGGCTTTCCACGTTCTAGCAAGAATATATGCAATAATAAGCATTCAAACCTTGCATTCAAGGCCTTATTATCATATTTTGAAGGCTATTCACTTGCAAAGCAATAAAGGTTGATTTATTTCACCCTTCAAGTGTACAAATCAGCAAGGAATAGGAAGACACAAGGCTGATATGGATGGAAAGGGTGTCTATATGCATTGAATTCCACATTTATTCACTCTTTTCAACCATATAAAGCAAGCCACGGAAGATCAAGAGTCATCCATTCTTTCAGACGAAAATAAGGCTATATAAATAACAAATTATGCCCAATTTCATCCATTTCTATCTAGAGTATTCAACCACCAAGGGGTAAGAAGAGAAACAAGTAATTTAAGTGAATTCAAGTGCATTTAGGTGATGGTTTTAATTCAATTGTAAAAACCTTTCATATGGTGCCTATTAACACTATAAATAGGCACTTCCATGGTTTTTGTACTTAAAACTTCTGGCCTATAAACAACTCTTGAAAGATTGCTTTCTTTTTAGTTCTTTTGAAGAACTCTATCGGCTTCAAGTTCATCTTATTATCTTCAACCATTTCATTTGTTATAACATTGGTCTCATTTCATCCCCTACCACTTCTATCTTTCCACTATATTATATTGTTAGTTCTTAGATATATAATCCCAATCCATCCTTTGAAGTTATCATCATCCACGCCTACCATATTCATCCTTCACTATTGTTCATCTCATTCCACCACAACCATCATACTCTCATCTTTTCTAAACCATTTCAACTTCATCTGCATCCTTTTCTATTTCATTCATTATATGTTTATCTCATATTCACAACGTTATTTGTGCACTTTCAAAATCATTTCAAGCATTGCATAGTTTCTTACTAGAATCACGATCGGACAACAATATATATGACTCGTAACACATAACTTGGATCATATCAATGGGCGAGAATGGTGATTTGATGGTGATGATGATTGATTGATAGATAGTTGTCCTACGAACCCTCCTAATCATAATTAACTACGCAAACTCGATAATCATCTCTAACCAGCTCTCCTAATCTGATGAGAAGGCAAACTGGAATGTGAATATCTCCCTTATGAAGAACTTAATGATGAACTTGAAGAACTTAATGATGAAGAATTCTTTGATGGCACAAGGTAATCAACACTTGCAAAAAAGAACTCTCGTGGTATTATTAATCAAAGAAATATGATTTACAATGCTGAATGGAGCCTCCTTTATAAACGGTGAGGAGTTTCATGAATCTAAGTAACTATTGAATAAAATAATAATAAACTAAATATAATGTTTTAACTCTATCTTAATTCCTAATTGAATAATAAATATAATCTTAAAAGATAATACATCATCCATCCTATATTAAATTATATTATATTACAAATAATCAATAAAAGTATTGATAATTCGTAATATTTACAAAATCTCGTATTAATCGCGCATAGGAATTTTTGCATCCGTTGTCTTTACTAAAATGGAAGTATCTTGTGTTTCCAACATAAGATTGACATATTTCAAGCACCATTGTAAAGCTAAAAGATACCCAGTCATATCTCTAGAAGACATGTCGACCAAATAACACCCAAATTGTAACACCCATGTCCTGTATTCGTTCCTAAATACGAGTCAGAGATGTCACATTCATTTGTAAAACATTTCTTATTAAAAAATTAGTAAAATTTTGTTTCTTTAAAATTTTATTCAATTTAACCACTTTCACCAAAATTTCTTAATCGCATAAAATCAAAAAGTAATATTTTAACATTCAAACCAAGTCCAATTATAGGCAACAACTTAGTAGTTTAATATTGTTCCCTAAAAAAAAGTAAAATTGCCTAAATTAAAATATGTTGACACAATAAATAAATATAAGTTTAATAAACTATTAAACATGCAAAAGACCATTTATATATAGTAGTATTCATTTTAAAGTATATATAACACATAAATAAACATGCCAACTAGAAATGAAAAAAACATCGAAAGATGTCACACTGATATTGTATGTCTGAACTGATCCTCAAAAGTTAGATGTTGAGCCTGGCTCCTTACTCCGATCGCTTATCTTTACCTATGAATGGAATAATCACATGCTAAGTATTTACTTAGTGAAACATTAATAATAACATTTAGAATATCGATAAATATAAAATCACATGAAAAACATAATACAATAATATCGTATAATTATAAGAAAATATATAAAATAGACTTAGCAAAGTCTTTCTTTTTCTGCAAAACACGATTCACATATATCATATTTACTCAATAATAAACCAATTAATTTGCACTTTTCGATTTCACATAACATTAGCCCAATGTACATCAGATGAGAATGAAAAGTACGTGAGTCATATATGAGCGCTAACATGAGTATGGTTACTGTAAAACATAGCATTACTAACTAATAATCGGGATGGTAGTTCATAAAGTCAAAATATAAGGAACCTCATAATTACACAAACAGTGCTAGTAGTACACGAATGCACTAAATACAAGAAGTACACACTAATACTAATACGGGAGTGCACAAATGCACTCATACAGGCGTACACGAATATAATAATACGAGAGTGCACAAATGCACTGATACATGATCGATGGTTAAAAACTCCACCTTATGGCATGCCAATTGTACCAATAATCTTCAACACACATACAATGGGCTTTTCTAACAAAATCATATATCATTCATTTATCAGGTGTATCCATAGATATTAGCATACCCAAATACTAAAAAAATACATTGGACAATTCATACCCGAAATCATCCCTAAACCATTTAGTAAAATATCATATAAAAATATATTAGGTAATTCATACCCAAAATCATTTATAAATCATTTCCATCTATCATTATGAAAATATAACATAATACGATTTAAACCTTTTTCATTTCAAAACATTCGAAGTTGACTCATCGCAAGTCTTCCTTATGTTATATATATATAATAGGTAAAATGCACTCACCGTAAATGTCTCACTATCAAACCTTTTGTGATATCCTTTACTCTCGTACTTTTTCCTTTGCTTTTGGCTTGCTTCAATCACGTTTTTTTTATCACAATCTACAAAAGCATAATTTACCAACACATACAATTTCAAAGCATATGTTATTTTGTTTTGAAAAAACATATTTTAGTGTTATTCTAACATAGGCGCATATTAGAAATAAAATTCCTAAAAATTCTTTCAATACTTGTTCGATACTAAATATATTTAATAACATTAATACTCATCACAACACTTTCAAATACAACTTCAATCCTCCTAATTTTCATATCAACCAATAGCTCACATACTCATTTCAAACTCCACAATCTAACCATTAGAATGAATTCTTTTAGAATTCATCCCAATATTTTCAGTTTATTCAAAATGGTCTTTTTCTATTTATCTTCAAATTCAAGCATCCAATAATATAATCAAGCATTCTAATATTTAATTCAAGCATAGCATTTCAACTTTTGAACATTTTCTATTTCAATCCCATAATTTACATCATTTACGATTTAGCCCCTATAATAGTACAAACTTCCAAATGCGTCCAATCAACATTCTAAACAAGTAGGACCATTCACACATCATTTTTAGCCTTATGGAAAATTTTCCATATTTTCCCCATATTTTTTCTTCATGGTCCTCCACTTGGTCTCAATGCACACACACCTAGGCCTCACATGAGCTTAGGAGAAATTCACTTATGTCATGGTAGCATTCACTTATGTCATGGTAGCTCTATATGCTAGTTTAGGGTAGGGATAATAGAATAAATAAATTATACAATTTTAAAAATTAAATAAATATTTTTAAAAATATTTTTATTATATTATAAATATACTTTTTAGAGTTATTTAATATAAATTTTATAAAAATATATAAATAATTATCTATTTATTTTTTATTTTTCAAAGAAAGTTAAAAGTTAGTATTTAATATAACTAATTATTTCATTATTTAATATAATAATGATATAAATAGGTATTAAATTCAATATAATAAAAAAGATTCACATCATAGTTGAGTGGTTAAACTTTTGATCATTAATATAGTGTCTAAAATTCAAATCTTACAATCATCAGAAAATGTTTATTTTCTAACCGTTATGCAAGTTAAATACAAATTATGACGAAATTAACTCAAATGAGCAGCTTAGCTATACGATTAAAAGCCTTACATTTCATTCAACAGACTCGAGTTCAATTCATGTTGGCAGCAACTGAGGAAGAAAAGAAAAATGTGATGTGAAAATTGAAAATAATAATAAATAATTGACATGTATTATCATATCATGTTAAGATTTTAACTATATAAATTAAATTAAAATTTAATTAAACATTATGTATGATTTTAAAAAATAAAATTCAAATATTAAAAAATAAAAGTGATAATTTAAATATTAAAAATATAATTTATTATTTTAATATTTATTTAATAAGAGTAATTTTAATTAATGATGTATTTTAATGTATCACTTTAATAATATGTTTTGATATACAATTTTATCTGTCAATTTTCGTCAATTTTCTTGTTATAAAAGGATAACTCCTTGAAAACTTGGAACAAAATCCGATGCACGTCATAAAGTTTTTTGTCCTAAGTGATAATTTACTGCACGTGTCACTAATTCATGGGTTACATACAGTCATGCTTACGTGTCCTTTATCCTCCGCTTTTACTTTTTGTTTCTTTCCAAAGTCCAATTGAACACTACCAAGATCGGAAAACTATAGGATTACGTTAACTTGGTTAATTCGGATTCGTCCAGATGGACTCTAAAATGCCCAACACCTGCATTGATGTTGATGAAGGTGCGTACCGTGGGATCATATTTCCACAAGACAATATAATCCTTTAAAGATTTGATTATGCGAAGTGAAAAATTGTGTTAAAATGCACATATCTTAGGCAGTGAAAAGCTAAAACCTAGCAAAAGCGAGCACTTTCTTCTTCACTGTTATTTTCCCCTTCTCTTTCTAATTCTGTACGCTTTTTATCCTCCTTCACAATGCATAGAATCGTGTTGCAAAGGGAAATCAGAAGCAGAGCTTCCCACGCGGCTCTTTCTTGGTTCAATTCTTCCAATCTTTATAGGTATGCCAAACTTGTTGATCACATGCTCAGGGATTTAATTTGCGGTCTCAGTTTTGGTTGCGTTGTGTTGCGTTTATGCAATTGCGGACATAACAGTGCTATTGCGGCGACTACAGATATTGTCAGATGCATATGCTGCTATTTGTTCTTTTTTAATCGGTGGTTTCGATAGTAGATGTTGGGCGAATCTGGGTTTTGTTTTTTTATATTTATAGAATTATTTGCAGGGAACTAAATTTTGTGAAAAATAGAGTTCATTCATTTTATTTTATTAGTAACATACAATAAAAGATCATCTTTTCCTTATAAAGCTTAAAACATATCTAGGTATATTTTATGTACTTAACTGGATTGAAATTTGATGATTTTACATAATTTTATGGAATGTGTTATTTGGTTCTTTTTGCTGGTCTCTGATAGAGCATAAAGTTTGGAAACTTTGGATTGCTAGATTTGGTGTTTATTTGCTTGAAAAATCACTACTTATGTGTAGTTTGTTTTATTTCCAAAAACTTCATCTGGATTTCTTTTTAATAATTCACAATTTCTGTTATGCTAGGTCTGTTCATTCATTACCTTTTGCGACTGTTGAAGTTGAAGGGATATCGGGTTCTCAACCTGCCGAAGTACAAAACTTGGGTAGGTGGCCAGTATTTTATTTTCATAAAAAAAAACCTTCAAACATAAGCTGTGCGGTGCTTGTTAGAGAAATTATTTTGTTGTGGGGTAGGGGGTGATTGGGAGAAGGTTTAGCCTGTTCTTTTCTTTTGTCTCGCTATTTGCTTCAAAGCTATGTTGGATTCATTCCCCTTATGGATTGTGTGCGAAAAGGATAGAAGTTGGATGATAGAACTGTTCTTTAATGAAGTCCAGAGATAAGCAACTTCTTCTAATTTGGAATGCTTATGTTTTTAGTGCAAGGTAAATGGAAAGGATCTGCAGCTTGGAACACTCTTGTGGATCCTTTGAATGGAGAGCCATTCATTAAAGTTGCAGAAATAGATGAAAGTGGAGTTCAGGTTTGTCCATTGGATGTAATGTGTTAGATACTTGTATTGCTTCGTTTCAGTAGAATCTATGGTGCTTAACTTTTGATTGTCTAAGCAAAACCCGGGCATGTCCTGGTCCTCATGGTCTTATTACTTCAAAGAGTGCTTTTCATTGGGCCTCGCCTCTTCTCGCTATCAGTTGTTTGCAAATGCAGTTTTTTTCATGCTTTTGAATGTATGAAGTAAGCATTCTCTAATGGATTTAATGCAGCCATTTATAGAGAGCTTGTCCAGGTGTCCAAAACATGGTTTACACAATCCCTTTAAATCACCTGAGAGGTAGCTATTTACTTATCCTTCTATTTAATCCTGATACTTGGGTCATATGTGCTATTCCCCCCCCTCCCAATTTCTAGTCGAAGAAATAATCCTTCTAGTATTTTTTTTCCTACAGATATGTCTTATATGGAGACATATCTGCTAAGGCAGCACACATGCTTTCCTTGCCAAAGGTAATGTTCTTTAAGGAAATCTATTTAGTCATTCAGGTGGGCAATGTAGTATCTTGATGTTATTTGGTATCAAATTCATTATTTTTCCCCCAATTTTTATGATTTTCAGGTGTCCGATTTCTTCACTAGGTTAATACAAAGAGTCTCTCCTAAAAGCTATCAACAGGCCTTTGGTGAAGTTCATGTCACACAGAAGTTCCTTGAAAACTTCTCTGGTGATCAGGTATATAATGAATGCATTACTTTAGCTTTCCTAATTGCACCGGGCGAGTCATCTATGGAAGGTGATCATGACAGATTCAAATATAGTTCTGCATTTCTTCATATAGGTTCCTTCTTGAATATATAGTTTCTTCAATGAAAATGATACAGATATCAAGATTTCAAATATACCCGAAGCCCATAACTATTATAAAAATTTATGACATTCAGTTATGATCTTTAACCTATTTCTTCTATTCTTCCTTTATGGTAGGTTTGTTTCCTAGCAAGGTCTTTTGCAGTACCCGGAAATCATATTGGACAGCAAAGCCATGGGTACCGTTGGCCTTATGGTCCGGTAAGGCATACACTTCACTCATGGTTGATTCTGATCATTAGAAAAGCATCTTTCACGCCTTACTGTTCAAAAGCAATTTGTAAGATTGATGCAATTGACTTATTCTGAAATAAGAAAAATTAATAAGTTCAGAAACTAAAAAGAATGCTTCCTCCAAGTACTTATAAAATGATTAAAAGAGGAAATGAAAAATGTATAATAGAATGCTTCCTACTCTGTTAAGTTTATATAGTTAGACTATCAATGGTATCAACTATATCGATGTGCTTTAGAGCTCTCCATATCTTTGTATTCTAGGAGTTTGTGAGATGAAAGCTTTATGAAAGAATTTTTGTAACTTGTATAATAAGAATAAATTTACTCTTCCTGTAACGGCATAATGATCGGGTAGCATGATTTGTATTTTATTTTAACTAAACATTAGCATAAGTCTCTCACTTCAGTAGTTTGATAATAGTGGAGTTAATTTGTTTCATATAACTTCTGCAAAGAATTGGATGGTATTCTGATGTGATTTTGTCACTTATTGTTGTCGAGGCGTGATTTATTCCGTTATCTGTATTTGAAATTTGCTGTCATATAATTCTCTCTGTAGACCTCTCCCTGACATTTAAATACAGGTCGCTATTATTACGCCCTTCAATTTCCCACTTGAGATTCCTGTACTTCAACTTATGGGAGCACTCTATATGGGCAATAAACCCGTTCTTAAAGTTGATAGCAAGGTCGACCACTCGAAGATCAGTTTCATTTTTGTTAATCGGTTTAATTGGTACTTTCATGGTTACAAGTAATAGTTTGAAATCTCTTTCTGCAGGTAAGCATCGTAATGGAGCAAATGATGCGCTTGCTTCATCATTGTGGGTTACCACCAGAAGACGTGGACTTCATAAATTCTGATGGGAAGACCATGAACAAACTGCTGATGGAGGTCAGTTAACCAAGTGTGTTCTCTCTGTAGAGAAATTTGATGAGAAGTTTTTCTTTTATTTGTGTCTCTGTATAGTTTATGGAGTTTCCTTTAAGCAGGCAAATCCACGAATGACCCTCTTTACTGGAAGTTCAAGAGTAGCAGAGAAATTAGCCGTTGACCTGAAGGGTCGCGTGAAACTGGAAGATGCAGGATTTGATTGGAAAGTTCTTGGTCCTGATGTTGAAGAGGTTCCTTATGAAACGAATTCGAAACTGTGTTCAATATTCTTTTTCGAAGTCTAGACCAGTATTGGACTTATTTTTATTTTCTAATCGCAGGTCGATTATGTTGCTTGGGTATGCGACCAGGATGCATATGCATGCAGTGGTCAGAAATGCTCAGCACAATCAATATTATTCATGCACGAGGTTAGCAACTTCTATTTGGTGTATTTGCATTAATTTAGCCCATTATCATCTATGTTACTTTGATTTGAATGTGTTGGATATCCGTATGCACGTCCAAATGTGTCGGACATTGTCCTAGACTAGGAAAATATATGATATAGAGAAAGACGATAGCTCTTCATTCTTATTTGTAGCACAGAATGTTCTTTGCTTTCTAACTTTTTAAGTTGTGTATATATATATATATTCAGAATTGGTCTACGGGTTCACTCATTTCGAAAATAAAAGGTCTTGCCGAGAGAAGGAAGCTAGAAGATTTAACCGTTGGCCCTGTCCTTACTGTAAGTATGCTTCATATACTATATTTATTTTCTTATCATCAGTAGGAAGAACTTCAGAATAGTATTTAACATCAAATCAAATATTATTTGCCAAAAGCTGTTGAAAATCTAGAAATCGGATTATAGTTTTGATAAAAATATATTGTAATATACCGTTGCAGGTTACAACTGAAGCGATGTTGGAGCACAAGAAGAAATTACTTCAAATTCCAGGCTCTAAGTTACTTTTTGGAGGTGAACCCTTGGAAAATCATTCAATTCCAACCATTTATGGTGCTATGAAGCCGACTGCAGTATACGTTCCTCTTGAAGAAATTTTAAAACCAGCTAATTACGAGCTCGTAACCAAAGAAATCTTCGGCCCGTTTCAGGTATAACCGTTTAAGGTATATTCGAAGGGTGAAATATTTTGTAAACAAGGAAGTTCAAAACATTGATTACTATTTTTTCTTGTAGATTATAACCGAGTATAAGAAGGATCAATTAGCAATGGTGCTGGATGCTTTGGAACGAATGCATGCACATCTAACAGCTGCAGTTGTCTCGAATGATCACATTTTCTTGCAGGTAGGACTTAAAACTTTTTAGGAAATTTCGAAGTCTAGCACTTGGACTCGAATGAACCTTTATCTATTTGGCACATTGTAATTTTCATCGAATGTAAATCGACAGGATGTCATCGGGAAAACAGTGAATGGGACGACTTATGCTGGATTGAGAGCACGGACTACTGGAGCTCCACAAAACCACTGGTTCGGACCCGCCGGAGATCCTAGAGGAGCCGGAATCGGGACACCAGAAGCTATAAAGCTTGTTTGGTCATGTCACAGGGAAATCATATATGATTTGGGTCCCGTGCCAAGGGGATGGGAAATTCCACCCTCAACTTGAGAAGAGGGAATTCAAAAGCAACATTTAGGGGGTTTCATCTATGCTTTTTTGCCAGTTCCATTGCAGTTTTAGGAATAATATGAGAGAAATTTTGGTCTTTCTCTAGTATAATGTAGTCTCTTAGTTTTAGGATGTGTTACACGGGGATGATACTTGCGTACCCGTAGTTGGATGTGTCGGACACCAGTATTTAATTAGATAAAATGTTTGAGCTTTTAAGCTTATATGCTCAGTTGATCTCTATGGATTTGAATTAGTATGAGATGATTATAAAATAGTATGTATTTATAATATTTCCTAACCGCTAGTATTACACATTCTACATACATATTTATTCGAATTTAAGATCTCAAGGAAAAACAACTCTTATTAGCCATTTAGACCGCTTGATAAGTTATTGTATAAATTAAAACTACAATGTAGAGCAAGGATTTGCATATTTGAATTGGAAGCTCTCTTTAATTGAATCTCTTGTTCCAATTGAATGATGATATAATTAGATATAATTAGTAAAGTTGAACCATCTATACAAATTATTTTGGACTTGGATGCGAAGTCTTGATAAAAGTTTAGTGAGTGAATGGTGAAACTTACTATTCGTTTGCTTTACACCATATAAAATTGCTAGAAAACAAGAGTATGATTCAAGTGTATTGTTTTCTGTATGTAATAATTTACTACATTCAATTTTCAACTCTTTCGTTAGACAATAAATAAATTTGATTCATAACAGTTCGTTTATAGATGTACCTCAGCTTTCATTTTCCTTTCAAATATTAAATATTAATTATAATTTTTTTTAAATGTGTTCGGAAAGAATCCATTAAACAGTCTCAGTGATAAATGAGAAAGTAATTCTTTCCAGAGATTCTGAGCTCGAGCAGTTATGTCTGCAAGATTTATGAACATTATCAACAAATTAATCTAAACAGATACTATATTTTGATCGCCCCAAATCTCAACTCCACCTTACGTTTATCGTTTTCTTTATCGAAATCGTTTCTTGGGAGGTTTTAGTTGCTAATTTCAAATTTTCGAATTTCGCTAAGTTCATTGATGGCATGTTGAGTTCAGTGTAATAATTTTATTATTACAGACGATTTATTAAATCATAAAAATATCACTTAATTTATTAATTTTATTCGATAGAATTGGTCATTACAAAAAACAAATTATACTCTTATAATGGATTATTTCTCCTCTCTCATATCAGCGGGCATTTTCTAAAACAAAATCAAAAGTTTTAAATAGAAAATAGTAATAATGAATCTAAGGAGTAGTTCTGATGACAAAAAGCATCGTATATTTTTTTAGGTGATCTGAATTTGATTAGTATCGTTTGTAAATTCAATAAATTATGTCAATTTTATGTATGTTAAAAATATAATAGATATTATTATGAGAAAAAAAATGCAATAATATATTATAAAAGAAACAACAATACCACCAACAAGGTTGATTTAAGTGGTAAGCAGTTTGATATAAACTTAAGCAATGTCTTGAATTCGAGTCCTTGTGTATGCAGAAAATATAACACTCATTTCCCGTGTACGTCCCCGTACACGAGTCACAGATGCCACATGACTTTTAAAACATTTTCGTACTTGAAAACCAATAAAATTTTTCTTCTTTAAATAAACAATTTAATAATATAGTTTATAAAACGTTCTTCAACTAATAATATATAAAATAACGTTTAAAAATCCATCAAACAGTAGTTTATGTCAAACGTAATATAATACTACAACCAAATACCAAGTATCTTATCAGAGCATCACAATATATCTAAGTATATGCCAACTAGTAATATCAAAATAAACATCTAGAGATGTCATACTGTTACTGATGAGGCAATCCTTGACAGATGATATCAGCTGCACTCCTTACTCCGATTATATTCAATTACTTACGCGTAAAACCATCACACGCTAAGTATTCACTTATTGAGGCATAATAATATAAATGAGGCATAACCAAAACATAAGTATGTCATAAAAGATCAAAATACGAATTTAATCGTATAAATATAATAATACATAAAACTGTCTTGGTAAACCAAGTTTCTTTCAAATAACTTGCTAAACAATATTTAGTATGCCCATCATAATTATCAATCAGCATTTTCCAGAATATCCAGTTATTGTCCAATGCATGCCAAATGAGAATGCAAGGTACATAAGTTGCACATAAGTGCTAAACGAAAGCATATGTTATGTAGTGACAACAACACTATACTTATATAACGAAATGGTAATCCACAAACTCATTATGAATACCATGGATGCACACATAGTGCCTAAAGCACACATAGTGCCTAAAGCACACAAAGTACTGATACAAAAATGCAACATATGCATTAAACAAAATTGATTGATAACCATCATACACAGTATGTTGAAATGCACCTACGACTCTCAATGCACATACAATATGTCTTTAAATCAAATTCGTAGATTAAAAATTTATTCTGAAATATCGATAGCTGTTATAATAATATAAAAGTTCATACATCTATTTTAGGGCAGTTTATACCCTAAAATTATTTGTAAAATCATTCTCATAAACTTTATAGAAATACTTCAAAATACGATAAAACATGCTTTTATAAAAACATTCGAGGTTGACTCATCACAAGTCGTCCTCATATCATATAAGTACATAATAAATGCACTCACCTGGTATGCCTCAATATTATGCCTTACTATCGAAATCCAATTATTCTTGAACTTTTTCCTTGCCTTTCGCTTTGCTCGTATCACGAGTTCGATCACGATCTACACAAGCATCCATACAAAGTATATGCAATTATAAAATACAATGTTAGTATCCTTACTAACATTTTTTTCAAAATAATAATGCTAAAAAATACTATTATTTTCGAATTCTTTTAAAATTCATCTTAACTTTTCCTTTTCATTCATAATGGGCCCTTGTCATAAACTCTTCAATTCAAGCCCAAATAAGGCCAATAAATTTCCAGTATTAAATTTCCAGCTCAATACCTCAACAATGTCATAATTACCACTTAAGCCACTAACTTTCTCCGTATTCACCAATTTGTACTTAAACTTTACCAACTTCTAAAATGGCTTAATTTCACGTTCTAAATTCAATTTCAGCCCTCAAACATCAATTTCCAGCAATGCACATCAATTATTGAGTAATTACACATTCATCCCATATTTTTTCAAAATTACCGAATAGGTCCCTCAAGTTTTGAAAATTAAAAAATGACCCAAAAATTTTTGTAAGTCTTGTAGAACCTTCCAAATATCATTTCTATGGGAATTTTCCATAATTTTTACCAACCTATTTCTTCATGACCGAATGCTTTAGGGGTATATTTCTCATGATTTTCACTTGATTCAAGTATGAAACCAACCTCTATTCAACTTTTCAAGACCTCTAAAATCAAGCCCATAACTCAATTTCATCAAAATACATATTTCCCCTAAAACTAGGGTTTGGCCGAATTCAACATAGACTTATATAGCCATGTACAAGAGATTTTAATCAACAATCATGATTGTATATGATTCTGCAACCTCAAAATTCTTCATCAATTTCATAAACCCTAATGTGAACACAAACCCTAGAATTTGAGATCTTTCAACACAAACCAAATTAGCAAGCAATAATGATACCGAATGATAGCGTCTTTTTGAATAAAATAATTTTCTATTTCACAGCATGATCCAAAATCCAAAGGAAATTGCTCAAAAATTGAAAAGAAATTTTTTCTTACCTTAGGTCACGGAGAGCTGGAAAATGGCCCAAGTTTCATGAAATTTTCATGTAATTTCATGTTAATTTAACATTTATTTAAACTTAAATGAATAAAATATTCATTTAATAAAAATTGCCATGAAACTTGATAATTACCATCCAACCAAGCCACATCAACCTTATCATCTTTCAAAAGTCAAAGATAAACAAATTATTTTACCCTTTCCAATTTTACCAAGCAACTTTACAAAAATTGCAATCTTGCGACTTTGATCCAACGATCCATATTAAACATAGAAATAAACCTTCAAATCCAACAATCCATATTATTTTTCATCATTTTAACATGTGGAAATAATATTTTTAAGCTTAATTTATCATCCTTCAATTTCTCCCGAAATTTCTATTCGATCCGATTTACCGATTTCTTATCGGACTTTTACCATTTCTAGTTTTCAACATAAATTTCGGATCAAGAATCTAATTTCAATAAAACCCCCTCTCAAGAGTAAACTATCCATTTATGGAATAAAAATTATTTTTGGTAAAATTACCACTTAGGTATAAACTTTCCCAATTTTATATATTGTCCATTAAACTTTCAAAACTTACATTTTGATCACTAACTAAAATTTGGGGTATTACAGAAAATCTTCGTTGGGAGATTCACCCACCAAAATTAGGTAAATCTTGAGGGAAAAAACATTACCATCTACTAAAAGCATAGATGGAAAACAATAAATAAAAGAATTAAAATACAGTTGAAATTAAAAGACAAAAATTTGAACAAGAGAATATCTATTTACTAAAAAAATATATGAGATAACATAAGGGATAAGCCAAAACAATGTTGATTTTTTATTGAGGAAGTTTTAAAATATTCTTTATAAATCTATGGCGATGAGACGACTTCGAAAATTTTAATTAAAGAATAAGAAAGAAGAGGTTGAAATCAATAAGTCTAATTTTCTTTTAAAAAAGTAACGAAGATTAGTCACGAACTCACGATGAGCGATGATTGATGTAATGATATATTAATTTTTATCAATATATTATTCATTAAATATAGAATATAATATTATATGTTATGAATATTTATTTATATACATGACTATCTATAAGATAAAGTTTTGATATACTTCATTATTAAGATTTTCATATCCATTAGATTTAGAGTTCTTTATGATATTCACCCCTTATATTTATAAATATGGAGTTTAGTGAAAGCATTATACACAACTTATATTGATATAATAATTTAGTTATCTGTCTTTATTTTTATCTCTCTTCTTCTTGTTGTTTTTCTTATTACTTCGTTCTCTCTTGTTTCACAACACATTATAAGCACGAGTTTACTTGGAGAATTGTTTTATTAAAGATTGAATGTTGTTTGTAATACCCGTTTTGGTCTGGTTAACTTTTTGTAAAGGAACATATTTTTTTTATTAAAGCTAAT